AAAAATTTCACCTTTCTCCTCTGCTTTTAGACCATCTAACTTTAAGTATTCTAGCGAATCATAAAAAATGGAAAAAATTACAATCTCTTCAAACAAGGCTTCAATGTCTATTGGAATTTTAATATATTTATTAAATTACAAAAACCATCAAATGATGGTTTCTGTTCCAAGGTCATAATATTTATACACTTGTAAATAGAGTTATTAAAATCAAATCTTGATTGTAAATATTCCAAAATTGTCTTAATAAAAATATTTGCTCCATTTAAAAATACGTTAATTATAGTAATATTTGAACATTTTAATATGATATTTTTAGCAATAGCGCCATAAAATTTATTATCTATTTTTAACTGTAGAGATGAACATAGTTGTAGCATGATTTTGTGAATCTTTACCAATAAAGAATCTTCTGATTGCAACTGAATATTAACTACATGAAGTAGATTTCCTACATGTGAAACTAATCCCAAATATGCTTCTGACATTTCATACTCGAAATTTTTTTTTTAGCAAAATAGAACATTTTGTTACTTAAATCTGTTTGGTATATGGGATATAATATCCACTTCTAAAAGTTCTATTCTTCTAACACAAAAATTTTGAAAATGTCGAGTGGAGCACTGCAATTCTAGATAACGATATAAAATATATTAAGTAATTTAAAATATATTTATAATAATTATACATACTGTTCTAACTTCTATTCTTTCTAACACAAAAATTTTGAAAATGTCGAGTGGAGAATTTTATAAAAAATATATTTTAGAGCGGAAAAATAAAATAAAAGAACTAGACATATTTTTCGAATAAATATTATTTATTTTAAAAATATAAAAATAATCAAATACTGTCTCTCAAAATTATTATTTATATATTAAAAACATTAAATTGCTAAAAAAAATTGTGGGAGCTTTTTGTGGGAGATTTCTAATTGTGGGAGTTTTGTGGGAGTGAGATGTATGTGGGTAAACTAAAAAATTGTGGGAGACTCCCACTGATGGGGGGAGACATGGCAACGCTGGGCACGACCCGGATTTTTTTTAAAATATTTGATAAGCTCAATTTTCAGGCCCGGCCCGGATTTTTTAAAAATAAATTATATTTATTTTTGATTTTTATAGCTAATAATAACGATTTCAAATATAGGCTGTTTTAAAATATACAGTCCGGCCCGGATATTTTTTTAAAAAAAATTTTCAGACCCGGCCTAGATGTTTTTTTTTAAAAATTCAGGCTCAGCCCGGGTGTTTTTTTTTAAAAATTTCTGGCCCGGCCATACAGTCCGGCCCGGGGGCCGGGCCGAAAAACATACCAAGAAGTACAACTTTTGAAAGTAGATTGAAAGGTTTGGATCTTTTGAATATTCATAGGCATTTGACAACAAGCAAGGATGAGATAATTTATTTATGCTTGATATTTTTAAAAAACAATAATATTTCTTAAAAAATTTTATTACCCCCCCCCCCCCCCCCCCCCCAGATCAAATTTCTGCGTATGCTATGAAAGTTTTATTCTGCATTAAATTTAATAGAATGTGATAAATTGCCAATATATCTTCAAACCATTTTTATTATATTATACATTATAATACCTAATATTTCAAAATATTAAACTAATACCAAATTTATTGATAATATAAATCAATTTGTATATTTAATGAATTGTTAGATATTTGGTTATAAAATAAAAATGATTTATACATATTCTAAATATCTTCAAAATCAAAAATAATTTCATTTTTTATCCATGATTCATTAGTGATTGAACTATCTTTGGATTCATTCTATTCCGTTTTGATATTTTATCACTAGCTTTGGAAAAGATTCGTTCACATTCTACTAATGTAGCCTGCTATGGTATTTTGGCCACAATTGGGGATCGATATTGATTCCATTTCCACCTATCTAATATGTTGATATTAATTGGATATAAAATATCGGATAAATAGCTTTGAATTTCATTTATAGAATCTTTCTCTGATGTCCCAATTCCCATGAGCCTATCCTTAGCTATTCTCTCCCTCAAGGATATTTACTTAAATAAATATTTTTATACACTTTGTTTCCCTTTATTTCGCTTTCCCCCATTTATTTATTTAAATTGAACAAAATCTTCAGTGGTCTTTAACAAATTATACATGTGAGCTTAAATAAAAAGAATAAAGAATTACGAAATTTCAACCCTTTTAATTGTGGGGTCTAATATGCCCAATATAGGACTCCATATTTAAAAATTTAAGAAAGTAATCAACTTTTTTAACCACTTTCATTGCAAAAGGCAAAATAATAAATGATGGGAAAGAATGAAGTAAAAGTACTTTTAATTTGTTTGTATGTTTTCCAGCATCATAGGCATATGCCTAAATAAGAGAGATTATATAAAAATATTAAAAGATTATTTATTCAACAAAAGGTAGGAAAGGAGGTCCAGATAAATCTAAGGTATTTCATTAAAGGGCTTTAATAAAGAAATTTGTTTTTCTATTTTATTTTTATTATCATTTATTATTTTCTATGTTGCCAAGGCTATCAAATTCAGAACAACACACAGTTTTTATCGTCCCAAGATTCTAACAATAAGAAAAAATTAGATTAATTTACTATAAGGACCTTTACCAACATGAAACATGTTGAATTCCAATAGGTTTCAACATCATTTGGAATTTTTTGCCAAATGCCATTATATTTAAGTAGTAATCTGTATTTTTGAAGTAATAATGGACTTTGAGATATGTTTGTTGCAACCATCCTACTTTAAGATATTCTGGCAAATAATGTTTAACACATGTATCAACATTTTATATGCTGCAAATAGGTTTGAACCCATATACGTAGAGATTGCAGCTATATAAGTTGGGTTAATGATGCTTACTACCTTAAAGTACTCCCTATCAAATTTGAATTTTGTTCATTTTTCATTTGGATAGGCACTACCAAATATATTTATAATATATATTTGAAAAATCATGATTTTTGGAAAGCCTCTATGGCCTAGTAGGCAAGAGCTTGGCTTACTGATCCCATGGTCCCGGGTTCGAATCCCGTGAATGGTCATGTTTTTTTCTTATTCCAACTTGGTGGTTCCATCTTTGGGGGGGGGATAATATATAGGAGGCCGGACTCGACCACGTGATTCCGTATTAATATATTAAATAATAAGGGTCTTATTACATTTTAATAAATTTTGGTCGGTATTTAGCAAATTAGGTTGGTATTTAGAATATTTCCATACATTCACTTGGTATTAAGCATCAATTAGAGACTTTAATGGATGCCGAGGATAGAGTACATAATTAATATCTAATATTATTTTTTCATTTTCCACGATTCATCAATAAAGTGGCTATACAGTTTCTTTATTTAATATATATATGTAAATCAAGTATTCTATCACATGACAATTGGTATATATATGTATGATTGATTTGTATATGACATTTATAATATATATAATATATCTCATTTATAACATATCCCCACACATATGATCTTACAACTCCTCAATCAGCCGATTTGTAGGTTTCCTAGCTCTTTGTGATTTCCGCGTTTCTAGTTTTCCATTATCTTCCACATTTTCCAAAATCTCAACTATATCCGACTCTCTATTTTTTTTATTTTCTTCCTCTCTCTGACTCCATATTTTCTTTATTTTCTTCCACTGGCCCAGACTTCTCCATTTCTTTAACTACCTCCCTTTTTCTAAGTTGATCCGCATGCTTTCCTACCATTCTATCCTTGTTTTCTACCAAATAAGAATATCTACCAGTTCTGGATTTTATAACTCCTTCTCTCCAACCTGAATTTATTTCATTATGCACCCATACCAGTTGTGCAATCTCAAATTCCCTCATTTGACTATGTTCATCATGCGCTGCTTTGTCGTATATTCGATCGTTCCATTTCATCTCTAACATTTGGATGTAACCAATTTAATCCCGTTTTTAGATTTCGCCCCAATAATAACTTTGCCGGTGAACGTCCAGTTGATTGATGTTCATCCATTCTATATGCTATCAAAACTTCTCCCACGGCTTCCTTAGGCTCCCTGATGTCTTTCCTAGTTGCAAAATATCGACTCGTGAGGGTTCGTATTGTTCTTTCCGCTAGACCGTTCGTTTTTAAATGGTACGGTGTTGTATGTATCAATTTAATATTTTTCTCGAAACAAAATTTTCGAAATTCTCCAGAAATAAATTGAGGTCCATTATCTGATACAATTTGTCTAGGTGTTTCAAACCGTGCGAACCATTTCCTTAAAGCCTTGATCTTAGTCGTGTTCATTTAAACAATTATTTTTTTTAGTTTGTTTTTGAACAAAAATTTTAAATTTCCTTAACCCGCCCGCCCATTGTTCAAATTTCTTAACCCGCCCGCCCAGCCCGCCCATAGTTTCAAATTTTTTTAACCCGCCCGCCTGCCCATTTTCGAAAAATTTTTCACCCGATACCCCGCCCAATGCAGACCTCTAAAATTGATTATAGTTTCGGAAACAACCTAATGCCGACCTCAAAACAATTAACATTTGTTGATATTGCAAAGTAAGTCCAATATGAATCTATTCCCATTCTAAAGGTTTTCAGAAAAGTAAACTAGATTTCTACATGGAGAAGTAGATGCTCATAGGATCCTATTTATTGTGAAATTGGTTCTAATGATATTTTGATTATGACCAAGATAACATCTATATATTAGAGTAGTAATTTTTTTTAATTCAATCAAGATAATAATAAAAAAAAAATTTTCCAAAAAATAGCAAGATCTGAAGCAATTTCAATTTGTTCCATATCATGCTTTGATCTGGTTGAAACAGCCTTTAATGCACTAGCACTAATTGTAGTCTCATATCGGGCAAGACACATCTACCTATATTTAATGATAGTATCTTAATTTGATTATTGAAACGACTAAACATTTTTTTACCCTCTTGAGTTTTTTTTTGTAGAGAATTATTTCCCAATGCCTATATTAACACGTCCCCTATTATATTGTTAAATAAAGGACAAATATATTAGGTTGGAAATATCGATTTGAGATGACTCCTAATCATGTAAATGCTCAGATTGCCTCATCGGAAAAAATCAATATTAGTTCTTATATACGAAAATTCGAGGATTTGGTCATTCGGTCGCTCAAATTGTATACAATAACGAGTAGTATAGGTGAGTACTATTATACACATGATATTTAAAAAAAATTTTTTTTTTATTAAATTTAAGTTTAAAAAATAAGTTGTATAAAAAAAATTGAGGTAGTTTATCATATATGAATTCATGATTAATATAAATTTAGAAAATTCTGAAAAATGACTATTAAACTAAATAAATAAGTTTAAAAAAATTATAAATATGGAACCGAGAAATGAATACATGTAAATTCTGAGGCCAGGATAAAGCCATTAGACCTATATTAAGGAAATGTCATCTTTTGAATCATTTAAAAATCTACTAGTTAAATGGTGAATGGTATGTTAGTCTTTTTGAAGGTTGATAATATATGATTGTTGATTTTTGTGATTATTTTATCTGGTAAATATTAAAATTATTTGATCCCCTAGAAATCCAGAACAAAGTATTGGAAATGTTGACACAATTGATATTCTTGCGAGTCAATTACCACCTTTTAGATTCCGATCAACTTTTTCTCAATTTCTTATTCAAGCAAATTGAATTTATAGAACAAGGCTATTATGAGTAAATAATGATAAAATCTTATATTTTTTCTTCAGAATAAAAACTGAAACGCAGCTTAATTGCTCAGAATTAAAATTACTCAAAGTTAAGTATTTTTACTGAATTTCACAAATATTTTTCTTAAAATTTAATACGATTTTGCTAAGTAAAATTATTGATTTTCTCGGAATTTTTTTATTGAATTTCTCAGACTAAATACTAAATAATAGCTCATAAATTTTTAATGTTTTTTATTTTTAAGTCCATTTAGCTTAAATATTTATTTTTATTATTTACCTTTCAAAATTTATGATTTTTTGAGTTGAGTGCTATAAAAATAATCATTCTAAATCATGGGGGGGGGGGGGTTATAATCACGACAATGGGATCAAATAAAAAGATTTTTTGAGTACTATTGAAATTAATTATCACTCCAGGTCCTCGAGTCTAGGACTAGGGAGGGGGGTGTTTAATACTTTTCCATAAAAAATATGGCTATAATTGTGTAAAATGAAAGTTAATTAAATTTTAAATAATATTAAAATTAGCACTTTATGCATCTGATCTAGGTCTGGGGGGGGGGTATTTTTTTATAAAAAGAATATCCACAAGGGTTTGATATAAAAGCTAATAAATAGATATATTTAATTTACAGATCATCAGTGAGGGGGGGGGTGTATTTGTATATGGATTTCCAATGAAGACTAACAAACGAATCTGTTTACAATTACTCATCTCTATGCTCTCAGTAAGTCTGGGGAAGAGGGAAGGATAAAAATTCTAATATAATCTCGACATTATTCTTAAAATAAAAAAAGCCTTTCGACTGCCTTGTTATTCATCAGTATCACTACTGTGAATCACCCATGGGAGGGGGATAGATTTTTGAAATAAAATATCTAAGCATGGGTCATATCTGAAATAAAATAAAATGTATATTGATTGCTATGTTAATTAGAGGTGGGCGCGGGCCGTGAAATTACGCGTGACCACGGTGGGTCACGGCGTGAGTGTGAATAAATTTTAAATTCCAAAGCGTGACTAGGCGTGACGGGCCTTTCCAAAATTTTCTCCGGGCATGATCGGGCGTGAACATAAATTTCCCGTGAATCACGGAAATTTTAATTTTTAAAATTGTTTTTTTATAAATATAAATTTGCAATTTTATAGCAATTTTTTAATTATAAATTTGCAATTTTTTAATTATAAATTTGTAATTTTTTAATTATATTATATTTCTTATTTAATTTAGTTCTTTTTTAAAAAAGAATAATTTATGAAGACTAAAAATCTTCCGCATTTTATAAACAACATCCGGTATCATTTTGTTAGTCCTATTTTCTTTTTATGTTTAGGTGTTTTTTATCGCGAGACTATATGCTAAATTTTGCTTAAACTTTTTACAGAAAAGTCAGCTATATTTTATTTGTAAAGATCTTCAATCTTTAAATGCAACAGAAAGTGAAGGATTTTAAAGCTAGGCCAAGAGATAAATGTTGGTGTTACATATGGATAACAAAATATAAAAGTTGTGGACCGGAAAACTCATGAATACTATAGGTCCAAAAATATACCATAAAATAAAATTTAAGATTAAAAGCATGATCAATAATAATTACTTGTCCATAATCACTGATATTTGACGGATGACTATAAAAATCTAAGTTTTTTAACCATTACAGGACATATTATCTTTAAGGATTTTAAATTAAAAACATTTATTTTGGCCACAAGGGCAATGGATGAAAAAAAAGTCAAAATTAAAAGTGTAGTCAATTCAATTTTAGGAGAATATACAGAATTAGAAAATTACTTAAATAAATGTATAGTTGTGAGTGATAACGGAGCAAATCGCCATATACTAAATAATATTATGCATTATATTTTTGACAATTGTTTAACTGAAATAGCCTTAAATATAAATGGTGTAAAAAAATAGTACAATATTTCAAACAATCTACAGCTAATATCAAACTAAGCCACACCCTTAAACAAAATGTAATAGCGAGAATTACGAGATGGAACTCTGTATATATCATCTTAAAATCATATTCTGAAATACAGGTGTACTTGTTTAGCAAGCAAAAATTAAATAGATTAGCCACAATTGATATCAGTATCATACGCTAGTTAGTAAATTTTTATCAATATTTAAAGAATGCTCGGATAATCTGAGAGCAGATTCTTATCCCACAATAAATAAAGTTTTTCTATGGAAACAAAAATTAATAAAATTTTGTTAACTTTCTAAACGTGATACAATAATAATCAAAATCTTAAAATACAGAACAAGATTTATTTTAAAAGATTATTATGCAGCCACTACATAAGGTAGGCTTAATTCTAGATCCGAATTTCAAAAGACTTAAGTTTTTAATAAAAGAAGAAAATGATATATATAAAACAATCTTAAAAATGCTAAATGATATAAAATTAGATGATATGCATAAGTCGATGCCAACTATCATTTATAACTTTCCGAACTTATCCTAAACTCATAAAAACCGTATATTCTAAATGGTCAATACCAACTATCACTTTCCTAATTCATCCTACACTCATAAAAGACCGTATATTCTAAAAAAAATTTTAGAGAATTTCTAGAACTTAAAAGATTCATATAAGATAAATAACGACAAAATTTTGAAGCTTTGGAAGCAGGAATATTCATTTCCTTTTTTGAGAATATTATCGAGTAAAATTTTGTCAGCTGCAAGTTCGGCTTCTAGTGAAAAGTTATTTTCTGTAGCCAATCTCTTATTAGAGGAAAGGCGTACACAATCGAAATAAAAAAAGATGGACATTCTTCTTTTTCTAAATAAATTTTTATTTATTTTTTGTTATTAATATGGATTATGAAATTAGAGAAATAATAGAATGAATTCAATAAAGTGTAAAATTATAGCAATAGTTTTATAAAATTTAAAAACACCGTGAATTTTCAGGCGTGACGTGCGTGAATCAAAATATTGCTTGTTGTGAGCGGGCGGGTTGGGTCGAAAATTTTTTAATGGTAAGCGTGAATTTTTTTATAGCCACCGTGAGCGGGCTGGTCGTGAATGAAAAATTAGGTCCGCGCCCATCATCATTCTTAATATTTGGATCTAGGGTATGAAGAGGGGGGAGTTTATGACAACCTTTTTATATATAGGTATCAAGTGAGATTTATCAAAATTGTTAAGAATTAATCAAGGTTATCGAAGCAGATCGGTTTGGGGCAGGAGCCAGGAATTTTCTACAGGGGAGGGGGTTACTTTTTTTGGAACATTAAAAATTTATTTGAACTATTAAAATTTATTATAACCAATCATATTTTAAAAAATGACAATTTCCAACAAAAATAATGAAATATTGGATAATACAAAATATATAAGAGCAAATATTGATTGTAGTATTTTTGAGATATGTTTTTATTCTCTATGAAGAAAAGGTAATATCGGTATTGTTGCCAAAATATACAATAATTATAATATATTTGATGAAAACTCCAAAATATATTTTAAAGTATAAGCAATACTTTCATTGCGTTTCTTTGGAATGTATCTACTAAATTCAATCTTCCATACCAATATTTAAATTTTGAAATTGATTGGTATTCAGATGCATTTATATTCTCTGAATAGAATTGAGCTAAAATTTTTTTTTTTAATATCAAGATTTAATATATCCTCAATAGAATTTCTAGGTAATAGTATTGTATGAACGATTTGTTTATTTAGTTGCAAGCCGAGGCTTGCCAATTTCGCTGTCACCTTACCAATCACATAGTTTTCTAAGTTCTAATATAATAATATTCGCGATTCTCATAACCTCCAAATCCATATCATTTTTTGAAAAATATTGCATACAATTGTGTTAAATAATTTATTAATACATTCCAATGCAAAAAAGATCGGTTGTCGTATTGAATCTAATGAAAAGTAAATCTATGTTAAAACAAATTTCCATACCCCTTTCTCCAATTTCAATGAAGATCTTGCTTCATACCTCCCCCCTAACTGCTAGAAGTTTCTAGGTAGGCTTATCGAATGGGACTATATAAATGAATAAAATTGACTAAAAAGAGGAAATTTTCATGGATTTAATTAGCTTAGTATTATTTAAATTTTTTTAAAATGTTGGTACAATTTTTCATAAATTTTTAAAACTGAATCGTATTTAATAAAAAAAGATTCATATATCTCAAATTATCAGAGGAGTTATTATATTTCTAATGTTTAATTTTAACCCAATTTCGTCACCATTATCATATTTATAAATCAAATGATTCAGTTTTTAAAATGGGCCTTTGTAACCAGTAATCTCGGCTTAGAGAACCAGAAGGGTATTATATTTTTTTTGAAAAATTTAAATCATATGCCAATTATGGAAATCAATAGTACTAAGAAAAAATATTTCTTAAGTAACTAGTTCTAAGCGTTTCATATATCTGAGCGATTCATTTTGTAAACTGAGCGTTTTCGTTTTATATCAGAAAATTATTATTCTCTTTACAATAAAGTTTTTTTTATCTGAACATCAAGAAATAATTAAGCATTCAGTATTTTTTCTGAGCGTTTAAGGATTTTTTTCTGAGCGTTTCAGTTTTAGTTTGTTTTTATTATAAACTTATTTCATTTTTATACAAAATTAAGGATTTAACAAGGCGTTTATTATTTTCATTTAAATTCTCCTCAAAACAAAATCTTTATTAAGGGATTGCCCAAAATTGATTGACAATTTATTTCAATTTTTTTCTTTGCTAACACGAGAGGTCAGTGATTCCACCATATCACCCGCAATAACACTCCCTAAAATTATTAATCTAGCGGAAGTTATCATAGCATCTGATCAATCTTTACAATCTCTAGGTTATTTATTTGACATTTCTTTGTATATTTATAAATATTAATTAGCCAAATTTAAGCTGGTTTTGAAATTCCAAATAAACGGTGACTATTACCTCAGTTTAGAGGTTTTAGCTTAAAGAATGGCTTAACCTTAAGTGAAGCCCCAAAAAACAACTCTCGCCTCAAAACTTAAGCTTTTTTTCAGCATACCCCTTATAATTTTTTTAAAATTATTTTACCAAAAATTATCAATGCTATATGATTGTTATACTTTTGCCATAAATTATTTATTAAAGCCTCGGGAGCTTATTTTGTTCTAATACAAGAACTTTTTTTGATGACTAATACACCCGAAAAAAGAAAGGAAAGGGTTGACTTGGATATGTTAAGAGATGTTATCACGACACTTTTATTGAAACATATGGATTATCCGGAGGTTATCTTTTACTTTTATTATTACTCATATTTATCCCACGTTTTTAATATGCTAAATTTTTAAAATATATTTTGCTAATTTATCAGTCAGAAGAATGAGATTTGATTTTGAAAGATTAATATTGAAAATTTAACGAAAGGTTATCTATCTGTTTTATAAAACTTTTATAACATTTATAAATCTCACATACAGATCATGTCGCTAATCGGGCTCGTGCTGACATCACTAAGGAAGGAATATACCAATTATATTACTTCAGAAAATAATAAATACATTCAATTATCACTACGAGCTTTATTACAAATGCAAGAAACTTTCTTTACGCCCAACTATAGTAATTCTGAAAATTACGATGGCTGCCAATTAGTCGATAAATTGATTGACCTTTTTCGCTCTTTACCTTCTTTTTATATCTTCCCTGAATTTTGCAAATTTTTAGGAAGAATATTGTTCGCCCCAGTTCCTATCATGACGGACGTTGTCTTAACCGATTTCCGTGATAATCGGGAAATTAAAGTATTCTCGTTTTTATTTTATATTAATATAGTATTTTTGAATATAACATTTTGACACAAATAAAAATATAAGTTAGATTATAAATTTTTCCTTTTAACGATTCATTTGAAAATAAGATATTCGATTCCTACAAATACTAATTGTCAACGATGGCCTTTTATTTTGTCGTGATAATGTAATTACGATCTATTATATTATTGTAAATATAGTGTTATTAGAATCTAAAATTTGTTATATTAACTAGTCAAGAATAATGACGCTTGAACATTTAATGACTCTCAAAATATGTGCGTTATATATACTGGTCACAACTCTTCGACCGATGGATTTTGAATTAAAGAAAAGTTTTTTTCTTATAAATCATATAGCTATATAAGTTTGAGTTACCATTATATTTTTACTTAATTAAATCTTTATATTCTGTAATACAAATATACACAGGCGAATCTGCTAAATCGTTTTTGATATCTTTTTGGACTGAAGATTTTGAAGGATCTCCAAATGAATATATTTTGTTTGTAGAGTAAATTTAATTATAATTCTTTAAATGTGTTAATTATTGAATGTTATTTTAGGAATATGTTAGATCTGATTTATTCTGCTACAAGCATCTATTTACAAATCATTATCAGCTATCAATCAATTCTATATTTTGATATAAATCCAATAAAATCTTCTCGAATATTGAATCTTTTAAAGAAACTACTTTTAGTTTTGACATCCCTAACTAAAACAAGTTAAAAGAATTTTTAAATATTTGCTAGTTTTTAATTTAAGAGAATAATACTTGATAAATTTATTAGAGATGCACTATTCCAGATTTTTCTGCCTATTTCGCTACGACTTATATAATTATTCAAATATTGGTACCAAACAATTCTGATAACGATGTACCGATATTTTTTATCGGATCGGGACGATTTTCCTTTTTTATAAATTTCGATTATCAGCCTATATTATTAAATTTGCCGATTCGATTCGATATAATGGTCTTTTTATTTTTTTAAAAAATATAGATTTATAATATAAGTAAAAATTAATGTAACAAATATGAAAATAAAAAAGGTCATATTTAATTTTATTAATAAAAATGAGTGGGTAAAAATTAAAAAAATTTTCTCTTCAATTATTTCTTTATTAGGGTAAATATAACTATTATAAAATAAAGCATTATTTTTTATTTCAATTTTATTTTCAATTTCAAATATTCACATAGTTTATATTTAAAAAAAGATAATAAATGGATATATTTTGTTGAAAAAATGTGAAAAGCTTAGTATAAAGTCAAAAATGATTATAAAATTTCAAAATAAGATATAATTTTCACAATTATTGGGGAAAAAAATATAATATTAATAAAGTAATTAATTTTTGCTCTCTTTTATCGATTGAGATTCAAGTTCCTTTTTAGCGTCAACATTATAATTGGGAGCAAGTTATCCTAAGTCTATAATGCATAGGATGTTCAATCAGGGGGTTTCGGTCATTGAGAGTATAAAGCTGAGATAATTGCACTTTATTATGTTTAGGGCTATCCTTTGACATAGGTAGAATCTCTCGTTGGGATCCTCCGCATAGCAGAGATCCATTTTCCCAGCTCTTTAAAGAAGGCCAGGGCGTTAGAGCCAAACGATGTTAGAGTCGTGGCGATTAGTGGTAGGGATGTATAGTTGGCAGGTAGCGATGGCGAATATTTAGCGAGTTTACTCGTCTCGGCGTCCAGTAGAGCATCCATATTTATATTGAGGGGCAATAGGATGCATGAGAAATCCCTGGTTAGGAATACCCCCTTCTTCCAAAGGATCATAGTAGAACCATCACGCTTACCATCAGAATTGTAAAGGTTAGTAGGCTCGAGGGTTAACGCGGATTTAAGGCCCTGGCAATAGTATCATTGCATTTTGAATGCCTAATGAATCTGCCTCTCAGCGCTTGCAGTGCAAAGAGTGACGGCCTTTTGAGTTGACCGTTAGAGGATACTGTGATAGGGTATCACCATATCACAAATAAGTCTATGATCGATGGCGTGACGTAGCTCATCATCGCTTAGGGGCTTGTCAAGGTTTCGCAACGAGAAATTCGTACTTGCTGTCTACGGAAATGGAGAAGAGTAGAGAATGGTCCTCAGGTTGGCTTCTCGATAAGGTATGCAACGGAGTTGCCAATTAGAGGCTTATCCAAGTCCTTCTATAGTGCCTATGAGGGAGGATCGATTAATGAGAGAAACTTTTATAGATAAATTGCCTGCAGAAGCAAGGGGCCAGGATGTTTTATGAGTGTGTGTATGATGGACTCTCAAGACAGGCGAGGGGATATGAACGCACTAACGGAAAATAGGAAGGTCGACCTTATGCCAATTCCGCCGGATTTATTTGGTAAGGTAGCCTGTAACCAAGATAGGTCTCCAAATTTAAGATTGAATATATCTTCTGTGAAGCGTTTAATCTCGAGTTCATGCGCAGCGAGGTTGACATCATATTGATTCGCGACGATCGGAGTGTATATAAAATTTTCGGAATTAGAAGGTAGTTCTTCAATAGGAAGAAAACTTTGTGGGCTGGGAGTGTATCGCGAAATTCTTCTTCTTCTTCTCCGTTTTATGGCGATTTCCAGGTTTACCCGGGTAGGCCAGTTTTCCCTCTGATTTTTCTTTTCCATTTTTGACGGTCCTGAGCATCAATACTTGTAAGATTCAAGCTTCTCATATCCGCCGCTATCACATTTGTCCACGTCATCTTGGGTCTTCCTCTAGGTCTTGATCCTCCTACTTCCATCATTGTGCATCTCTTTACCCAGTCATCTCTTGTCATACGTTCCACATGCCCAAACCATCTTAGTCTATTTCGTCGCATTACCATACCAATCATTTCTATACCTAATCTTGCTCGCAATTCCTTGAATATCGGCAAGGAATTTGATAAAGGACTCGTCTTTACCTCTGGAGATCTGAGATGTGTCAAAGATTTTAATGATGTATGATTGAACAGATGGAATACAACAAGGTGACCCTATAGGTTCCTTTTTGTTCTGGGCATTAATAGCCTGATACGAGGCATAAATAACAAATGCAAGCTAAATCTTCATAATTGGTATATCGACGATGGTATACTAGGCGGCCTACCGGATGAAGTGATGAAGGCACTCAAGATAATAAAATTCAGCGAGAGCAGTTTGGGAGAGCGAATTAATCAAAAACGGATATTGTTCACTTGGGATCATTGACCTTAATCACCTATGGGGGGCTATTAGGTGGGGGTTTTCGCCATAAATTATATAGGTCCTTGTAGATCTTTGGTTTTACTCTTTTTTTAACTAAATTTTCTTTCAAATTCTTTATAGTGATATATTGTATAAATTTTTCTGAAGAGGGTGTGTGTAGGGGGTAATTATTTATTATCTTAAAAAATGATATTTACCAAAACAGGCAAATTAGCAAAGCCCCCCCCCCCCCCCCCTGGTTACTCTCCTGAACCATTGATATCTACAAATATATCAATAGTATATTTAATAATCAGAATTTACTTATATGTTATATCTCCAAAATTTATACTAATTGAATTATAATTGTCACATTTATTCTTAAAGGCTACGGCATATATATTCACAACAGCTGAGGCTACGCCATAACTAACTGGAGAAAGTGAACGTATGAGCATTTCATTGTTAATTTCCATAATTGGATATTATATTGAATTGTTCATACACTCTAATTACTGACTTAAAAAAAATATGTAAGATATTATCCCTCTTCACATACTACAAAAATATTATAATTTAAAAAGATTATTTGTTATTAGAATAATATTCAATTATTTTTTTTATATTCTTGAACGTTAAATCAAATATTTGATTAATAAAATAAATTATTCGATTTGTTATATGAAATCAAAAATATTCGAATATCGAATGAATTTGTTACCCAAAATTATGGTATTTAAAATTCTCTAAAAAATTAGGCATTTTATCCACAAAATTGATATTTATTTAAAAAATTACTATAGATAACTTCAAGAAAATGATGATTTTGATTTTACCTCTAATACAAAAATCCATTGATAGCGATGAAAGATTTAATAAATGCCAACGACTCATAAAGGAATCGAAATTATGTGTTCGAGAACCATTTATGTCGACAAAATTATATTTCGTTTTGTTGAGTTTAGGGGTTAGACATATCAATTACGAGTAATATTTCTTTTATTTTAAATACTTTAAAAAAGTAAATACTGGATTTCCCATTCACTTCATAATTAATGTGTCAATTAATACGAGAAAAGGTGTTTCCCCTAAAATTATGACACTTATATTTTAAGATGGGTCTAGCGTTTATATAATTAATAATTATTCTACTCCTATAATATTTATTCATATGTATTTTTATATTAAACTTAACAAAATAATAGTAAATATACTCCTTTTATTCCTAACTGTCTTGCAATACTTAACTTGGAATCTAACCTGGATATCAATGATTTATGTAGCAACAAAACTAAAAAAGATCACAATAATATTTCAATATTGAACAATTATATTTCACAACTGGGACATTTATTGATAAAGATTAAATTATTTGTAAGCCCTATTTTCATACTTTTATGATTAAATCTTTATGTAATAATAAAAAGAAAAGAAATAATATTTCTTAAAAATTTTATTGATATTTTTAAGAACATAAACGAACATTGAAAACATCTATGAATTTTATAACTATATTTAATTTTTTTTTTGGCATTGAGATCAAATTGGATTCATAAATCGCATACGCGCAGGAATTTGGTCTGGGGGGGGATAATAAAATTTTTTAAGAAATATTATTGTTTTTTAAAAATATCAAGCATAAATTTATTAGGACTAATAACTAAATACACAATTTTAAATTAATCTGAATTATAAAAAAATTATATGTAAAGAATCCTTAAATGACCCAAAATAGAAATTTGAATTTTTTGAGCCTTTAAACAAAAAGTTTCTTAGGAATAATTGCATTTTATGTTATATATTTACAATGTAAAATCCAATCTTCGTTGGGATTGAGCTAATTTTTCAATTATCTCATCCTTGCTTGTTGTCAAATGCCTATGAATATTCAAAAGATCCAAACCTTTCAATCCACTTTCAAAAGTTGTACTTCTTGGTATGTTTTTCGGCCCGGTCCCCGGGCTGGACTGTATGGCCGGGCCCGAAATTTTAGAAAAAAACACTTGGGCTGAGCCTGAATTTTTTAAAAAAAACATCTAGGCCGGGTCTGAAATTTTTTTTAAAAAAATATCCGGGCCGGACTGTATATTTTAAAACAGCCTCTATTTGAAATCGTTATTATTAGCTATAAAAATCAAAAATAAATATAATTTATTTTAAAAAAATCAGGGCCGGGTCTGAAAATTGAGCTTATCCGCAAAAATTTTAAAAAAAATCCGGGTCGTGCCCTGCAAATGGTACCTCTGCAGTGCTCTGTTATTCTTATTAAAAAAGAGAATGTTCTCTCATTAGTTTACTATTGGGAAGAGTTGCTAATATATATAAACCCTTTTAATACATTAGGAATATAATCTAAAATGTGTTTTGCAGAGCACCCATAGCATTTTTTGGGACTGTATCAACCATAGTTAATCTTATAAACATAGTTATTCAGCTAATAAGGCATCATAAGATACTTTAACATTTTCATGATAAAAATCCAACAAATATTTTTTTTCTATCACCATCTGAAAAAGGTTGGGAAGGCTTTTATGGAAATAATATTTGGATTGGTAAGTGCTGCATAATGAATTAAAAACCATTCATTTATTTGGTTTATAAATGTATTTGTATCTAAGATATACTCTTCTACTGATCCTATTTTAATGTTTTAACTATGAGCTTGCCTTGCTGCAAGTCGAGTGAGACAAATATTAAACACGTATAGCTCTGCTTTTGACTTAACAATAACATATAAAACATGAAATTCTTCATAAACATTAGCCCTAATTTAGTTGAATTCTAATAAAATGCTCTTTGCTATTCTCATCTTCTTAATCAAGTCATCATGTTTTTGAAAAGTAATACATATAATAGTTGTACATTCTAATGAGAAACAAAATTTAAAATAAGCATTGAATCCAATAATTTTCTTGCTTCTAAGGAAAAATTTCTTTCAGGCCCCTGTGATATGTCAGTAAAAGCAAATAATGGGCTCTTCTAACTCCATAAAAGCTGTTACTGCTTGATGGCGGAGACTCTATCCCATAGGACAAGGTTGCAATTTCTTTTTCCCTGTTGGACAATTTCAGAATAATTATTATTTGACTAGAAATTTAAAAATGGTAGATAAATATTACGCCACTAAAAATTTGAAAATAATAAGATAATATTACGCCGGAAAACTTGAAATCGAAATTAATTGATAAACTTAGTTATGAATGTGATAATAAATGTAATTAAATATATATTTAATATGAGATAGGAATAAATATTAACAAATATAAATTAATATGTATTGTGTAAATTTAATTCAAAACATTTCCATATTTATTAATTTATTTGAAAATAAAATTATTTGACTTGTAAAAAGTTGTTAAAATAACATATTTATATATTCTTATCAATTTTTACAAGTTAAAATTTTTATTTCAAACGAATTAAAAAATATGGAAATGTTTAAATTAAATCTGCACAACACTCTAAACAAAAATATTTTTGAAAAATATATCCGGAAATCGCTATAGAGATTTTTGCTTGAGCTAACATTGTTGAGATATCCTAATATGATATTACGACCAACAATTTTTATTAATTTTTAATCTTCTTATTCAAACAAAAATGCAATTTTTTTTCTTAAAAAAATATATTTACATTTTTTATTGGAAGATAGGAAAAATAAATTATAAATATATTTCAATTTTTAAATTTTTCTTCGGGAAGCTTAATTTAAATATTTTTGATATAATCGTAAAAGGATTCTACTTATTTTAAATTTAGACGACACAATAATATTTTTGATACTTCTAAATTTAGGCCTAAGTTTAGCCGACTATTTTCACAAAAATAGTTATAACCTTACGACTAATACCAATAATCTTCATCTATGTTTAACAATAAAAAGAAAGAAATTATAAAAACAATAATACATTTTATAACTCAAATTAATTAATATTTTTTAATTTATCAAGGATCATTTCTAATTTACAAATGTTATAATCTCAGGATCCTTTTGAAATATCGAATCTTAATTTTGAGAAAATTAAATATTTAATATAATTTTATTTGGAGTATATTAATTAATGTATCCATGGATCTATCACTTGCAGATTAAACTATTGTATAAAAGGTGGGGTAGGGTAGGGGGTTGATATTTTCCAATTGCTATTTCTACAATAGGGGTAACAAAAATAAAGACTTTTTAATAAAAACATTTTTAAAAAGATTTTATTGATTAAATCATGACTTTTTTGTTTTATTACATATATTTTTTTAAATAAAATATACGTTTAATAAAATAAAAATAATTTTATAATATATACCCTGGAAGTAAGTAACCCTTAAGGAAAATTTATTACATTAAACATTTCTTTTCCAATTAATTTATGAATTAACCATTAACTAAACAATATTAAATTGACCGAAAGGTATTTATATGTTATTAACAATATTTAATATTTGCCCATTTATACTAATTTTATTACATTCTAATTATTAGGCCTATTCAAAAACGAATTCGAATCGAGTAGTGCAAAACTAATCGAATAATTTACTATTTGAATTCGTACGAATAATAAAATCTACTATTTGTATTCGATTCGAGTTATTCGAATTAATATTTTTAATAAAATAAATCATACTCAAATATATTGACAAATTTTTTTATTACAAATTTAATTTTAAACAGAAAAAATTATAATAATATGTAATCAATAATCTGATAATAAATAATATATAATCAAGTTATAAACAAAATTAAAATATATATTAATTTAATTTATAATTTAAGCCAATTTTTAAGGCAAAGAGTTTTTCTTATATTTTCTTCCCTATATGACATGCGGTTTTTTGGCAATAAATTAGTTCCAACTGAGAAAAGCCTTTCACAAGCAGTTGATGTTCCTTGTATAGATAGATAATCCCTTGCCATTTTAGAGAGTATTGGCATCCGATATGCATTTGCCTTCCACCACATTAACGGGTCAGTATCACTCTTTGCTCTTGGTTCACTCAGATAAAAATCTATTTCACACAGTTGAATATTATTTTGTTTAAAAACAATGTCTAGCCTGTTTTGTTGAATTTTATCCTTATTTGTTTGACAGTTATAATTATGAGCTTATAAAATAAAATCATATTTAAATGGGGGTAAATTAAATACCTGTATATCTATTGTAAATCTCTTTAAATTTGTCCATTAACTTGGATATATCAATATCATAATCAACAGATATTGATTTAAAATATTCTACTTTAAGCCTGGGATCTAATATTGTGGTTATTATTGCATCAGCGGCAGTTAAATTATAATAGCCCAACAATTTATCACATGCTACTTTGAAACTATTGTTAAAGGATTTATGGAAACCAGGTTTTCATTTTTTAAATGTTCAAGAATTAAAATATAATAAGGTATAACCAAATTATAAGTAGGATAATTCTCCCCACATACCATATTTGCAGTTTCATATAAAGGCAATAGTATAGCTTTAATTTTTATAAGATCCTCCCATTCTTCCTATATGTTATCAAAGTATATTATTACCTTAAATTTTAGTTTACCTCTGATATTTGTTTTTCTTGAAGAATTTTAATGTTAGTTATTACTTCATTAACTAATTTTGTTATAGCGGGCTTTAACAATAAGCCCCTTTCAATCATTTGATAGGTGCTATTCAACCTTATTTCACAATCCAATTTTGGTTTTAAAAAATTTAGGGGAGGATGTAGGGAACTACATATATTTTTTTTAAATAAATTTAATTTTTGAGGGAAATTACGAATCATTCTAATAATGTTTCTTAGTTTTAGAATTGAAGGGTCTAAAATTTTTAAAATTTCTTTGGATATAAAATTAATGACATGGGCAAAGCATGGGATGTGCCCTATTTTTATTAAGGTTATTTTAAAGAAAATGTATCAATAAAAGTTTTATTATTAGTTGCATTATCTAAAGTTATATAAAAAATTTTATTCTCTAAATTATAATTTTTAATTATTTTGACAAAGGCTTTAAATATATTTTCACCTGAATGTGTTTCATTTATTGGACTGATATCCAAAATTATGTTATTTATTTTAAAATTATCATCAATAAAATGGGCTGTTAGCCCTAAAAAAATAACCTGTGTTGGGCTAGTCCAAATGTCAGATGAAAAATTAATCTGATTTTTATTTTTAGATATTATTTCCTTTACCAATTGTTCATTTTCTGCAAATGTTTTACATGTGCAATTTAAGAGTATTGGAGCATATTGATTTTACAGAACAGTCAAGATCACTTATAAAATTTTTAAAATCATTAGAATTAATAATTTTAAAAGGAATATTATGATTTATAAATAATTTTAATAAATTATCCTTAAAATTAATTTTTAGAATTTGGTGTAGACTTTAAAAAAATGTCAATTTTATTATTTTTTTTACTAAGGTGTGAATGAAACCTATTATAATGATTAATGAAAGGAGTTGTTGTTTTGCCTTTACATTTTATAATACTCTTGCAATGATTGCAAGCAGTTTCACTATTTTTAAGGATTTGATATTGTACCATATGATTGCTCTCTTTTGTGAGGAAATTTTCTCATCTTCAACATCAAGCATAATTTCATCAGAAGCATTCTCCTCTAACATAATTAGGCTAGCTAACAATAATTATTGTAGAAATGTAATATATTTTTATGTACATCTGGTTTGTGTAATTTTTAATATAATTTATTATGAGATTCAAAAAATAAACTTTTCGTGAGATTCAAAATATGTGGCAAATAAAAATTTAAATTTTCACTTCAGAAATTTTTAAATTTGTGCTAGAATTTTTATAAACACAAACACATCACCTGTCCGATTGGCAGGTCAACAAATAGAAATGACAAATGTAAGATTTATTAAACAATTTATTAAATATTACGAATAATTCGTTTTATTCGAATCGAATAAATGATTATTCGTATTCAGATAAAACAAATAATTTATTATTCGTATTCGTAATTATTCGAATTATTTTTGAATAGGCCTACTAATTATATAATATATGAATAAAAATAATTTAATGTTGGATTATTTTAATTAATGAATATTATTATAGAATTTAAAATATCAATATTTATTTAAATTGGGGCAAATTGAAATAGTTATAGATCAGAGATTATTTATATCTCCTTAAATATAATAATATTTTATAAGTTATTATATCAAAAAAATAATTTCAAGATTAACATTGTATATGAAATCATTTTTTTCATTAAATCTAACAATTAATTGTGCAAAAATTTTTTTTAAAAGGTAAATCAAATTAAAATAGAATCATTTTTTTTAAAAAATACATAAATCATGATTCTTATCCAAAAAATAATGAATATAAATCAATTTGGCTTAGTGCTCATATCTATATACTTTATTCTAGATTTTTTCAAATATAATATTTAAAATTATTATATATTTTGGCCACAATACTCATGAGCACATATACAAATGAGAGGACTTTTTCTTAATGAAGAATTAACTATCTTAAAAGTACCATATCAAAAAATAGATTGAATGAGTTAGCTTTTCTAAATACACATAGGTTTGTCCCCTAACAGAGCAAGTTATTGAAAAATCAGCTCAATCTTAAGAAATTAATAGTTTAAGTGATTCATGTCGAATATTATTTTATAATCTTATTTTTATGCATTCATTTAAATTTGCAATAAAAAAAAGTTAGAGATATCCAATAAATCGCAATCAAGTTACGCCTTAAATTTTGTACCAAAGGATTTAATCACTTTACAAAATGATTCGCCCATAACAAAGGCTTTTTTTGACGATCTTACGCAAAAAGATTCCCTCTTCCTCTTAGCTCGTGGTTTGATAGATAATAATATTCTGCAAATCATATTAAATTGGCGGGATCCTATTATATTCGAATTTATCATAGTGTTCTCCAAAAAATTCTGTTATATTCCTTATACGAGTTTAGTCTATCTATTTAATCGTATAAATTATCACCTGCTCCCTTCGATAATCAAAGAGATTCAAGAGTATTATACTATAAAGGTTTAAAAATTAATAATTATTTCTAACTCATATATAATTTATTTTAATTCCTCATCTTATTACATTATTTAAAATTAAATTATAGTCCTGTCCTGACCTTTTTTAGGACAATTATTTTTTAGATGGTCACAATCAGGGCTTCCTAGATTCCCCCAAACCCATGAAACCCTCTTAAAAATAAGCTATTAAAATTTGTTCACCCTTCTCCCCCCTTAATTACATATTCAAGATAAAAGGTGTATTTATTGCACAATTTAAAATAAAATTTAACTAAAAATTTAAAAATATAATTTTTATATTTTATGCAAATAGATTTTAGTTATATACAAAAAAAAATTGGTATTTTATTATTTTTGAGAATGGACCTTAAATGATATAAAAAAAATATATTAATATTCTGAAAAAAAGCAATGAAAGGGCTAAGTGAATAAATGTCAAGAAAAGAGATTAAATGGTTTTTTTAACTTCAATTTTTAGAAAACGATTTTTCATAGTGCTTCGAAGTCTAGATTCAATCAGCTTTATTCTGCCCATTACTCTTCATTAATATTAATGATATCACCATCAGAAAATATATGAACTTTTTTTGAGTATTCCTTAAAAATCAATATTAAATTAACATAAGTAAATCACATCATACTCGTCGTTTTGACCCTTTTTATCATCTTTCTCCATTTTCCTCTCTCTCTTGGGTATCGCCACTGATCAAATCTAACATTTCATTCTCTACCACTTTCATACAGCTTATTTTTGGTTGCCGTCTAGGTCTTGTTATCTCAACTTCTAAACAACGTCATCTATACCCAATCATCTCTTGCCTTCCGTTCAACATGTCCAAACTCTTTCAGCTTATTTCTTCTCACGGCATCAAAAATAAAATTTATTTTTTAGGAACTTGTAGCCCCAATTCTATTTTTATAGAATGAGTGCTTTTTATGTTTTTTTAATATATTTTTTTTAAAAATTATGAAGTTGATTAATTATAAAATAAAAACCATCAAATATTTTAAAAAAATATCAAAAATTAGTTGTATAAGATAGTATTTTAAAAGTTTTCATAAAATTTTAATTGGTCGAACCTGATTTTTTGTAATATTTTACATTGCGTGGGGTCAGTCAACTTATTCGAAAAATCATAATAGGCTGGTCTAGAGTTGTTAATTTTGCTTATGCCTGCTCTGAGCACAGACCCGGCACAAAAACCCATTTATTTTTAACTTTTTTTTGTATAGCGTAGCATTACCAATAGTGTTGTTTGTTAAGTAAGACTCCATTTTACCGATTTTAGTATTGAAATGGCCAAGAATAATCAGCTTGTATCTCTTGGGTAGTGAATCAATAATGTTGTTTAACTCACCAAAAAAAAGCATTCTTTCCCTCAGGATTGTGGGCGAGTAAATATTTATGATGATAGTAGGTTTGAAGGCTGTATTAATGTAAAGGGCTGCCATTCTTTCCGAAATAGGGATAAACTTCCTGATATATTGGCAGATATTATTTTTAATTAAAAATGCCACTCCGGACCATTTATTCATATTAGTTCCAGAACTTAACAATGTAAACCTTTTACTTTCTTGGAAGTTTTAGAAGTAATTCTATAGCTTAACGTTACATTTATCTTTCATTATATTACGCTGTTCGGCGCATTCTTATTTCAAATTTCTTTAGGCGCCGCCTGATTAATATTTGTATTTATGAAATATACATATTGCTCCTTTAGATTTACTGAATATAAAAAATTTTTTTTTTTAAATTTTCTTTTCTCTCTCCCTTTCGAACACATTAACGATATAATTAAACACATGCATACATAACTACAATTTTGACAAATGTTATCAAAATCGAAAAATAACAAAAGGATACTTCAATAACGCTTTATATGCTCTTTTTTTTATAATTATTTCTATAAACATTATCATTTTACATGAATGTTAATCGTTAACATGTTTTCATTTTAATCGTCAATATATATCTTTAAACCACTAGTTTCTTATAATTTCTTAAAGAAATCTTACCGTCCCATTTCTCTCTTAATACTTTCTCAAAATAAGGAAAACAAAACAACACTCTTAAATAAGATTAACAAAAATAATAGTAAAAATTAAAATAATTCTTAAAGTAAGCCTAACGTCTCGTTTCTCCTCAAAATTTATTTTTTAAAGAAGTTATAATATTTTTATCATGTTCGAAATTAAGGGACAATTATATCCACTTATAATATAAACGGTCTTTATAATAAAATCTCTATCCTTACTAAATTACTCTCTAATGAGAATATGGACATAATCGCCATACAAGAAACCCATATGTGCAATGACTTAAAAGCTGTATTTAAAGATTTTACATTGTTAAGTTCTGGAACTAATATGAATAAATGATCCGGAGTAGCATTTTTAATTAAAAATAATATCTGCCAATATATCAGGAAGTTTATCCCTATTTCGGAAAGAATGGCAGCCCTTTACATTAATACAGCCTTCAAACCTACTATCATCATAAATATTTACTCGCCCCCAACCCTGAGGGAAAGAATGCTTTTTTTGATGAGTTAAACAATAGTGTTGTTAAATTACCAAACTTTGACCATCTCTATTGTGTTCTTATTCAGAACTTTAGACTAAAATTTTGAATTAAGCTTCTAAGTTTAGTCTCAACTTGAGGATTGACTAGAATATTTCTGGATAAAAATATGGCTAAAGCTGTTTTATAGTCGACTAAAGATAGGTAGTTTAACAACACTATTAAACAACATTTTTGTTTCACTACCCAAGAGATACAACCTGATTATTCTTGGCGATTTCAATACTAAAATCGGTAAAATGGAGTCTTACTTAACAAACAACACTATTGGTAATGCTACGCTATCTTGCCAAAATAATTCTGACAGCTTGTCTTTATTAGAACTATCTAAAAGTAAGGGCCTTAAAATACAAAATACTTTTTATCAACATAAGATTCAACATATTTTTAATTTCTATAGAAATAAATATTCATCACAAATTGATTTTATTTTGTCAAACATTCACAACTGGTTTTTGGATGTGAGAGCGATTACTACAGTCAACATCTCTGACCACAAAATGGTGAAAGGACATTTAATGATCAATAGTGAATTGTGGAGAAACAAAAATACTTTATATGCATCTAAGAGAGTAGCTCCCCGCCAACTAAGCTTTCGGGAAAACTATAATAATTTAAAATGTCCATTAGTCAAAGATGAAATTTCGATTAAGCTCTCTCTAGAAATAAATTGTTTCATGCAAACTAATCGAAATTCAACCCTGGAAAGCTGCTGGAGTAATTTCAAAAACATCCTATTACTCAACTGTAAGAATTTTACCAAAATTAAAGGCCCTCCCCCTAAAGAATAGATATCCCCGACCACATAATCCAAAATAGCGGAACTAAAAACCAAAAGCTATAGAGATGTGTATCTATGGAAAACTATACAGAGACTTCTAAGGTCAGATAGAAGGAAATATGTGGCCAATAGAGCAAATGAAATTGCAGATATGAGATGCAACAGATTATTTGATGCTTATAAGAAATTGAAAATGTTCGGAAAACTTTCAAATTTTAAATGTCTTCCCAGATTAAAAATTGGTGATAATATCATTCGAGACCCTGAAGTACAAATGAAATTATTGTTAGAACATTATTCTGAAATATTCAACTCCAATCATGTGATACTTCCTACGGAGAATGACCTACTCTCCACCAACTCAAATTTTACTACGTCGGAGATTAAGGAGGCTATACTAAAACTGAAAAGTAACAAGGCGGCCGGACTTGATTGCATTAGAGCGGAACACTTAAAAGTCGCTCCAGATTATATCTCAGTATTTTTACTAAAGATGTTTAATAAAATTTGGGTTTCAGGTGTTACTCCAAAAGAATGGAACATATCCTTTATTTGCAACTTCCCAAAAGTTTCCAATCCATCCACTTTTGATGACTATAGGGCGATTGCGCTGACGTCTATAGCATCTAAGGTCTTCATGGTACTTCTAAAAGATAGAATAGTAAACTCTACTAGCCATTTATTATCAAATAACATTTGCGCTTACAGACCAGGTAGAAACATCCTTCAACCTATTTTAGCGCTAAAAATTACCTTACAAAAATGTTTCAGATATAAACTACCTTTTTTCTTCATCTTTGTAGATTTAAAAAAAGCATTTGATGGCATCAAGCCAGAAGTTCTATGGAATATCTTAACAGATATAGGTGTGGACTTAAACATAATAAGAATTCTCAGAAATCATTATGGCTCACTGATGTCTACCTTTAAAGTAGAGAATGTCCAATCTCCTTCCTTTATGGTACATAAAGGAGTTAAACAAGGATGTGTTCTGTCTCCTATCATATTTAATATTGTTATGAAAAAATTATCAAAGAGGGGGATAAAAAAACTTTTTTATCTTTAACATAATAAAAGAGGGGGTTTAAAGAAAAACTTTTTTTTATCTTTAACAATACGGAAGCGATATCTGGGATGTATATAAAACTCAAACTAAAAAACTTCAAGTCTTTATTAATAGATGCCTAAGACTTATAAATGGATATATATATCCTAGAGTCATTATAAATATTAGTCTATGGAAACTATCCAAACACATTCCAGTCGCAGTACAGCTAAAGAAAAGAAGAATTCAATTATTTGCGCATATTCTGAGAAATGCGGGAAATAATTTGGCCTATGAAGCTCTGGACTGGCTACCGATCTACAAAAACAAAAGATACTGTAATTATAAAACATACTGGTTAAATAAAACGATATTTGACATTCTGAATTTGAATATAAGCCTAACTCAATTTACACATCTGAATAATAATAAAAGTTCAATCAATAAACTTCTTAAAATGAAAACCAACTACCTTATAGATCGATAGTTTTTCCTATGTATTCATTCAATCCCTTTGGGAGGTTTTAGAAATTTCATTTTCCTCTTTACCATTTTCAAGCCCATTCCAAAATTTTTCAACATAACCTTTATATT